GCTTCCTTTTGTCTTTTCCTAAAGTGCTGTATATATCATACACCAAACCTAAGTGATCCCCCACTAATTCAAAAAGAAAATCTGAAAGATACATAATCTATATTGTGCTTTATCAGCTTTAGGAACCAAAATAGTACTGAAAAACAAGATGTAACTCTGATTAAAATAGCTGAAACATATTTCAAAACTATTGCACAAAATTCAGATTTTTTTCCCCTGGGAGACTAGTCTATAGTAGTCTGAAGATCAGTGGTTATTTTAAAGCTTGTTAAAGAGACTGAAGGCTGTTAGCCTCACTACATACAGAAAGAGTTTCTTGTAGATAAAGTAGGATTATGTATGGCCTAGTACAAATTTTCAAGTCTGGTGGCCTGATTTTTTTTTTCTAAGGCGCTGACCACCTGGAGCTTTCTTGGCTTCTCATTCACAAGATTTGGATCCTTGGAATTTTCTGATAATCAGTTCAAGTGTCTATAATTAGTAAAAGTGGCCTGATCCATAAAAGAACTGCAGGTGCTCAGCACTTCTGACAACCTGGTTACTTTTATTTAGCAGACTAAATATGGATTTACAATCCTAACTTTAGACACTCAGGTTTGAAAATATTGTCTTTAAGGTTTTGCGTTTCTTTTGTAGAAAATGTTATATTTTGTTTCTTCAAATTCCTGTTAAACTGTACTGATCAGTATATTGCTTCTGTAATTATACTGATGTAAGCATGCAAGATTATTAAACTGGAGTCTGGACTGTAAGAGTAACAATACAGTAAGATTGCTCATTCCTGACTTTATTACCCAAAATGTTCATAATTTCAAGCAGTCAGGTAAAAGAGAGTGACTCTCATTCCTTTTGACATGGAGGACTCAATTATCCTGATATTTGTATATTATATATAAGCTGTAAAATTATATAATTTGTAATAAAGATATAAATTATGTAATTTTTAGGGCTGTCAATAAATCGCAGCTAACTCATGCGATTAACTCAAATTAATCACGATTTAAAAAATTAATTGCGATTAATTGCAGTTTTAATCGCACTTTTAAACAATAGAATACCAACTGAAATTTAATAAATATTTTTGGATGTTTTTCTACATTTTTCAAATAGATTGATTTCTATTACAACACAATACAAAGTGTACATTGCTCACTTTATATTTTTGATTACAAATACTTGCACTGTAAAAATGATAAACAAAATAGTATTTTTCAATTCACCTCTTACAAGTACAGTAGTGCAATCACTTTATCGTGAAAGTGCAACTTACAAATGTCAGGGTTTTTTTGTTACATAACTGCAATCAAAAACAAAACAATGTAAAACTTCAGCGTCTACAAGCCCACTCAGTCCAACTTCTTGTTCAGCCAATCGCTAAGACAAACAAGTTTGTTTACATTTATGGGAGATAATGCTGCCAGCTTCTTATTTACAATGTCACCAGAAAGTGAGAACAGGCGTTTGCATGGGACTTTTGTAGCCAGCATTGCAAGGTATTTACGTGCCAGATATGCTAAACATTCGTATGCCCCTTCATGCTTCAGCCACCATTCCAGAGGACATGCTTCCATGCTGGTGATGCTAGTTAAAAAAATAATGTGTTAATTAAAATTGTGACTGAACTCTTTGGGGGAGATTTGTATTTCTCCGGCTCTGTTTTACCCGCATTCTGCCATATATTTCATGTTATAATACTCTTGGATGATGACTCAGCACGTTTGTTTTAAGAACACTTTCACTGCAGATTTGACAAAACACAAAGAAGGTACCTGTAGTGGGGTGGTCACCCCGCTCCTGTCCGGAGGGCTTGAAATCAGCCCTGGGAGAGGGCTGAGGCGGTGAGAGGGCTGCTGCTAGGGAAAGCAGCAAGCTTCGGCTGATTGGGGAACCAGCCACAGATGCGGCCACGCCCCAATCAGGGCCCAGCTGACTCTTATAAGAGGGCAGTGGCCGGGAGCACAGACACACTCTCTCTTGCCTTTGGAGAGGGAGGGACCTGGCTGCCTGGGAAGCTGAGGAGGATACCTAGGGTGGAGCAGTGCTGGGGAAGGGCCAGGGAGCTGGGGAGCTCCAGACTAGCAAAGCCCCAGGCCGAAGTAAGGGCCCACTAGAGGGTACTAGGGCTGCAGAGGGGCAGCCCAGATATAGGCCAGAGGCAACTGGTCCAAACCCCCCTTGCCGATGATGAGTGGCAGTTATACTGCAGTCCGCCCTAGTGAGCGGTGGCTAGATGGTGACTGGCAGTAGCCAAAGACTGAGGTGAGGTGGGGATAGGGGTTTGGGGGTTCCCTGGGGAGGGGAGACCCAGAGAGACTGCAGGGTACTGCAGGGGCAGAACCCCTAGGAAAAGGGCACCGGGATCTGGGAAAGACATGGGGCCAGCGGCAGGCGAGACACTGGCCTGAAGAGGGCGCTCCAGGCTGGAAAGAGCTAATTCCCGAGACAACCAGCAGGAGGCGCCGCGCCGGTGAGTCATCACCCCGCCACAGTACCAATGTGAGATTTCTAAAGATAGCTATAGCACTCGACCCAAGGTTTAAGAATCTGAAGTGCCTTCCAAAATTTGAGAGGGATAAGGTGTGGAGCATGCTTTCAGAAGTCTTAAAAGAGCAACACTCAGATGCGGAAACTACAGAACCCGAACCATCAAAAAAGAAAATCAACCTTCTGCTGTGGCACCTGACTCAGATGATGAAAATGAACATTCATCGATCCGCACTGCTTTGGATTGTTATTGAGCAGAACCTGTCATCAGCATGGACGAATGTCCTCTGAAATGATGGTTGAAGCATCAAGGGACATGTGACTCTTTAGCACATCTGGCATGTAAATATCTTGCGACATCGGCTACAACAGTGCCATGCAAATACCTATTCTCACTTTCAGGTGACATTGTGAACAAGAAGCGGTCAGCATTATCTTCTGCAAATGTAAATAAACTTGTTTGTCTGAGTGATTGGCTGGACAAGAAATAGGACTGAGTGGACTTTGTTTTATTGTTGAATGCAGTTATATTGTGTACAGAATTCTACATATGTAAGTTCAACTTTCATGATAAACAGATTGCACTACAGTACTTGTATTAGGTGAACTGAAAAATACTGTTTCTTTTGTTTTTTACAGTGCAAATATATATAAAGTGAGCACTGTACACTTTGTATTCTGTGTTGTAATTGAAACAATATATTTTAAAATGTAGAAAACATCCAAAATATTTAAATGGTATTCTATTATTGTTTAACA